ATAGTTAATTGTGTATACTGCATTAATCTTAAAAAGACAATTTAAAACATAATGTAATAAGGCAGTTGTCCAAATGGTCACTGATCAGGGATTATAGAGAAGACATGTATCATGTTAGGCAACAGTCAAATGCAAATGTGTGTTATTTGAGACAGGTGGATGACTGGTCATCAAAGGCATCATGGATGACTCATACCATGGAAAAACTGTTTGCAAACTTTTCAAGCCAGAAAATGTGTTCAGAGGCTGATAACATTTTCTTTTAGGAATCTTATCTTTTGATCATGGGTTTCAGAGACATGTTCCATCAACTTTTAATTTTATTTCTATAGCAGAAATAGAAAGAGGTATACAGGATATATCTGGCTGTGAATGGTAGCAGTTTTAGGGGGAAAAGTGATTCTTCAATATTTTTTGCCTTTTGAAAATGAAAGCAGTGAAAGATGCTCAAATGAAGTAATTTGGGTAACAGCCCATCAATGCCTCCCACAGCAAGCTCCAACTCTGGGGAATGAATTTTCAATGGCAGTATCCACAATTGTATCTTCTTTGCCAATTCCTTTTTATAGGCCATATCATTGTATAAAGTTAATTTGGACAAAACACCATAAACCCAGAAATAGAAATGGTTTGATCAAAAGCAAGGTATATTCAAGAAGGAACATTACTATTTAAAATACTAACAGAGATGGAACTACCCAAGAAAAAAATTAATCTCATAATGAGGTTAACCTTCCCACCATTTGAATGTAAATCTTTCCAAGTGATCTGGTATAGAATCCTTTCAAAAAGTCTTGAAAGACTGAACATATGCTCCTAAACATCAGTCAACTACGTTACAAATTTGGCACTAATTTATTCTCTTTTTGTTTTGGGTACTGGGTATTGAACCCAAGGGTGCTTTATCACTGAGCTACATTCCCAGCCTTTTTTATTTTTTTATTTTGAGACAGGGTCTCATTAAGTTGCTTAGGATTTCACCAAGTTGTCCAGGCTGACCTTGAACTTGTGATCCTCTTACCTTAGTCTCCTGTGTTGCCAGGATTACAGTTATGCACTACTGCACCCAGCTTAATTTATTCTTTTGTTCCCTGTTTTGTTCTGGGGAGTATAAAATAAGAGAAATTATAGCAGGAGGGTCAGTCCTACAATCATTAATGTTTGCATAGGGACACAAAGTCAATCTGGACTCCAAAGAAAGTAAGAAAACTGAGCCTCCCAAAGTGGCCATCCTGAAGAAAATGGTCAGAAATGAATGGGACACAAAATAACCAGAAAATGGTTTTGCAAGAAGTTTTTCTTTTATTAAGAAAAATATTTGACCACAGCTATGGTTTAAATATTCATCAATAAGTAATGAAACCAACAACAATAACTAGTTATCTTTACAAAACAAAAAGAAATAATTACTCACAACTAGTTTTAAAAGAGACTGCCAAATAGAATACATGAAATTTAGTCATGTCACATTTTGGCAGGCAGAGACATAAATAAATTCAGAACCAAATATCATGCTTTTCAGCCCTGCCACACTGTGCCTCAATGGAATTCTACACAGTAAATTTGCCTCCCCTTATTCAGCAAAATCCACCCTGAGTCCTAAGCCATTTCCTGAAAGCCCAATTCCTTTCATTAAGGTATTAAATCATTTATTAATACAAATGCCTTCTTATTGCTGGGAATGGTATTATAGACTTACTTTTTTATATATGCTCCAGCTTTTAAGATTCTGTTGCAAAAAAATGATTCTTTGTGATTATTTATAATATCCTACCTAGTTTATTGCTTTCTAGAATTTCTATTGTTAATTAAAGGGCCTTCTTTCCTCCACCTCCCCTAAAAAGCCAATCTATTCCCCAAATGCCTATTAGAGACTAAATAAAAGTCAGTCTGTCACAGCAGCAGTGATGGTCGTGCCAATTTCCCAGTGTGATTGGTACACTCGTTTTCATTTTGAAAATGACCCTACCCTCCATCTGTCTAAACCGAATGTCCTGCTTTTTATAAGCCAGGCCTCTGCAGTAGCATCACAAGGAAGAAGACACAGAATGGCTTCTCTCCTGCCCATTTCAGCTGCCAGGCTCACAGTTAGAAGAGAACTCCAACTGATTTCTGTAGTGATCAAAGCAATGTACAGGACAGACGATCATCCTTTTATTTTTCATACATTGTCAAGAAGTCATTTGAAGGTAAATGCTTTCATGATGCAAATACAACTCTGTAAAACAGAATAAGGCTAAAGAGATAAAAGCCAATTTCCCATTTTCATGTTTTGCCATCTTGCCTTGATTTAATAGCAATTTACCTAAAATAGCAGTTAAATATATGAGGATTTTAAAATATTGAGCCTTTTAAATATTAATTGTTTCCTAGGAGTAAATGTTAATCAGGCAGGCATAAAGTAGAGGACTCCTTACTGCCTTATTATTGAGTGACACTGGCCAGTGTCTCTCAACCTACATATCTCCCTGGATTGAAGACTGGAAAGAGTTACAGCTGGAGGACAGGTTGGAAAAAGACTTGGTATAAGATTTTAGTGGCTCCCTCAGCTTCTTTCTCTGGTGATCTTTTTTTTTTTTTTAAATATTATTAGTTGTAGTGGACACAATATCGTTATTTTCTGTATTTATTATTATTTTTATGTGATGCTGAGGATTGAACCCAGTGCCTCACACATGCTAGGTGAATGCTCTATCACTGAACCACAACCCCAGTCCCTCTGGTGATCTTGTGTGGTGTCCAGAGCTACAGTCAATCCTCCTGGGATGGGTAATTCTGGCCTTTTGATGATATGCATGTAGTAGGCAGTTTCTTGTCTGATCCTATCCAGAAGAATACAGTTGTGGGTAACTTCTCAGTAAGGGAAAAGAATGCCTAAGTGTGTGAAGTCAGCCACTTTATAATATACCATTCAGATGCTAGCTGAAGTCTCTTTCTAGCTGTAACAGGTGACCAGGATCTACACCATTGCCTACTAATTACTTCCTAACACCTGCTTACAAACACAACTCAGGTCAGAAAGTTCAAATTTCTGCTGCACAAAGATCAGTTGTTTTAATGGAAAAATCATGACAATTTTAAAAAGCAAGTTACTAATATCCCCTCAAAGATGGGCCCATACATGACACATGGATTAAATTAACTCATCAGTTACTCTTTCCTTCTGAACACAGCTTTTAGACAGCAGGGTTCAGCCACTTCTTATCTACTTCTACTCAACCTTTCTGAGTCATAGGCTTTCCATCTGTAATATGCAGAATTCAGGGTAGTTATTTAGATTAGTATATAAGTAGTAGAATTTCATGCAATAGTATGAAATTAGTATGTAATAGTATAATTAACATGTAAGGGGTAGAATTTCATGCAATATGGTTGATATTGGCTCCAAAATTTATATACAGAAAAGATTTATGGGCAGCAATGCATTGAGGAGGCAGATAACATACCTGCTTTGAAGTCACTTTGACTTGGATTATTTACCTCAGGTGATAGGAAGGCCAATCTCAATTCCTTTATCTTGGAAGACTACACCCTGCCCCAGGTCACCTGCAGAAGTGCTTCATATGTATATTAGTATCTTGAAAACAACACAGTTTACAAATGGGTTAAACAAGTTTTGTAATTTGCTGTCTTGAGAACTTCTCCAATATATGGCTGAAAAATTGTACTTATGCTCTCTTGAATTCTAGTTTCTAAGTCAATCATATCATGGCTTATGCTTTTTTATCCGTGCCTCAATGTATTTTTATATGATAATTAAGTCCCTACTTTTTTACTGCTCCATCATGGGCACTATGAAGTTAAAAAGACTTTACACAAAAATAGACCTGGGACACTAATGTGGAATCTATTCCAAATACATGACAAAGAAATAAAGAAAACCAAGAGTTATTTCTTGTACAATCTGGAAAATCTACACAGAGATCTTCAAACTAAGAATTTGAGATTAGAGGTGGGCGATTGTATTTTAACTGAAAAAAAAAAAAATTCCCCCGCCCCTACTGGTAATGCAGATGGAACTCAAGAGATGCTCAACCATACAGCTACATGCCCAACAAACTCTCCACCCTACCCCCACCCTGCCACCATTTAAAAATAATTTTGGAACAGGGTCACCTAAGTTATCATGTTCCTAGAACTTTTGATCCTGCCTAGTCTCCCCAGTCGCTGAAATTGCAGGCCACTGGGCCTAGCTGGAAAAAAAAAAATCCACTTTTTAATCGGCTCAATAATATCCAGAAACATATTTTCAAATATGAAAAGTAGAGGCTGAGTATCTGTCACTTACAAACCTACACATCACAAACTGCTAACTTAGTTAAGAGAGAAAAGGAACAATGTGTAGGGAAGGTATTAGTATTGCATATTTTTACCCTTGAAAAAGCCAAGGCATGCTTTTTGCCAACGTTTCTACCTGGTAGTGAAAGTTAGAACACCAAAGCAGTGGCTATGGCCAGGTTTAACAGCTAACATTCACTCAGTAATGCTTGTCATTAAAAAAAAAAAAAAAAAAAAAAAGGAGGTGAGAAATGTTTGGATCCAAAACTCAATTCTCTCTCACTACCAGTTAAGATGCACAGGACTTTTTCTCTGGCCAACCTCCCCACACGACCAAGTAAGGACGCCTGCTCATTGTACTAATCTTAGAAAGTGTGCCCTCAGGGCAACATAAAAAGAATCTACTCTGCTTCCAGGCCTATTACAAGAAGATAACCTTCTTTTACCATCCAGTTCCTAATTAAAAAAATAAAAATAAAACGCAAAATGAAACCACTTCTTTGCATCACAGGATGAATACTGAACATTGCAAGGAACCTCGGACCCTAAACCTTACTCCACCACACGAGACCGAGGAGGCATAATAGAAACACAATAAACAACCTTCATTTTAAAGGAGGAATAAAGGCTGTTCACACCGCATCCCTCCAAACACCTAACCCATAAAGACAGAATAACGCCTCCCAGCATGCAGAGCGGCAACGCCCCGAGATCCCGCGCGACTGAAACGATGCATGCCGGGAAGTGGAGTTTACGCCACTGAACGGCCTGAAGAATTTCGTCTCGCTAGCCCAGCTCCATGCCACTACTCAGTCCTGAGTCATCCGAGACGAAACCAGAAGTTAAGACTCAGTCAGTGCTTCCTTTTTATTCCTAACCGGCTCCTTCCGCGGCAGGGTAAACCTCCGATCGACTTCCGTTTCCGGAGGTCTGGTTGCCTAGGAAACCAGCAAGCATCGCAATCCAAGCTGTTATGGCGGCGCTGAGCAGCACGCAGATCCCCGACGGGGAGTTCACCGCCATCGTGTACCGGCTCATCCGCGACTCCCGCTACGCCGAGGCGGTGCAGCTGCTGGGCGCAGAGCTGCAGCGGAGCCCCAGGAGCCGCGCTGGCCTGTCGCTGCTGGGCTACTGCTACTACCGCCTGCAGGAGTTCGCGCTGGCCGCTGAGTGCTATGAGCAGCTGGGCCAGCTGCACCCAGAACTCGAGCAGTACCGCCTGTATCAGGCCCAGGCYCTGTACAAGGCCGGCCTTTATCCAGAGGCCACGCGGGTGGCCTTCCTCCTCCTGGACAATCCCGCCTACCACAGCCGGGTCCTCCGCCTGCAAGCTGCTATCAAGTACAGTGARGGTGACCTGCCAGGGGCCAGGAGCCTGGTGGAGCAGCTGCTGAGTGGGGAAGGGGGAGAAGAGAGTGGAAGTGAGAATGAGCTTGATGGTCAGGTCAACCTGGGTTGTTTGCTGTACAAGGAGGGACACTATGAAGCTGCCTGTGCCAAGTTCTTTGCRGCCCTGCAGGCTTCAGGCTACCAGCCTGACCTTTCCTACAACYTGGCACTGGCCTATTACAGTAACAGGCACTATGCCCCAGCTCTGAAGCACATTGCTGACATTATTGAGCGTGGTATCCGTCAGCACCCAGAGCTTGGTGTGGGCATGACCACGGAGGGCATTGATGTTCGCAGTGTTGGCAACACTTTAGTCCTCCACCAGACTGCTCTGGTGGAAGCCTTCAACCTCAARGCAGCCATAGAATACCAGCTGAGAAACTATGAGGCAGCCCAGGAAGCTCTCACTGATATGCCACCTAGGGCAGAGGAAGAATTGGACCCTGTGACCCTGCACAACCAGGCACTCATGAATATGGATGCCAAGCCTACAGAAGGATTTGAGAAGCTACAGTTTCTACTCCAACAGAACCCCTTCCCCCCAGAGACTTTTGGCAATCTTTTGCTGCTCTACTGTAAATATGAATATTTTGACCTGGCAGCAGATGTCCTGGCAGAAAATGCCCATTTGACTTATAAATTCCTCACACCCTATCTCTATGACTTCTTGGATGCCCTGATCACTTGCCAGACAGCTCCTGAAGAAGCTTTCATTAAGCTTGATGGCCTAGCAGGGATGCTGACTGAGCAGCTACGTAAACTTACCATACAAGTACAGGAAGCAAGACACAATAGAGATGAAGAAGCTGTCAAAAAGGCAGTGAATGAATATGATGACACTCTTGAAAAATATATTCCTGTATTGATGGCCCAGGCAAAGATCTACTGGAATCTTGAAAATTATTYGATGGTAGAAAAGATTTTCCGCAAATCTGTGGAATTCTGTAATGACCATGATGTGTGGAAGTTGAATGTGGCCCATGTTCTCTTCATGCAGGAGAACAAATACAAAGAAGCCATTGGTTTCTATGAACCCATTGTCAAGAAGCACTATGATAAYATCCTGAATGTCAGTGCTATTGTATTAGCTAACCTCTGTGTTTCCTATATTATGACAAGTCAAAATGAAGAAGCAGAGGAGCTGATGAGGAAGATTGAAAAGGAGGAAGAGCAGCTGTCCTATGATGACCCCGACAGGAAAATCTACCATCTCTGCATTGTGAATTTGGTGATAGGAACACTTTATTGTGCCAAAGGAAATTATGACTTTGGTATCTCTCGAGTTATCAAAAGCTTGGAACCATACAATAAAAAGCTAGGAACTGATACCTGGTATTATGCCAAAAGATGCTTCCTGTCCTTGTTGGAAAACATGTCAAAGCACATGATAGTGCTTCGAGACAATGTTATTCAAGAATGTGTGCAGTTTCTAGAACACTGTGAACTTTATGGCAGAAACATACCTGCTGTTATAGAACAACCTTTGGAAGAAGAAAGAATTCATATTGGAAAGAACACAGTCACATATGAGTCCAGACAGTTAAGAGCTTTGATTTATGAGATTATAGGATGGAATATATAGTTATAGATGATGACTTCTGTTGGAATAGCTTTGTTATATACATTTTGTACTATTTTTCTATATTTAGACTTTGGCATTTATATTTGTTACATGTTGCACTTTGTACACTTTAGTATTATAAAAAATATTAGATGAACTTTCATTTTTAAATTCCCCACAGAATGAAATATCTTAAGAACTGTTTTCCCAGAAAGAATTGTTAAAAGTTAAAAACTGATATGGGATGTTATGTCTTTTAGAACTTATTACTTGTTTCCTTTTGTTATTGTTTGTGCTCTTATATATCCTGAAGCAACCTTATGTATATATTACATTACCCAGGGACCAGTCACTAAATCCAGAATTGAGTAGTAGCTAATGTGTAAGGACTTCTAGGTTTTTAATAATTTTAAAGATTGTTGTCTTCTCACAACTTGCCCTCATGTTAATGTATGATATAGATCTTTACAGAGTTTAGGATATCTTTCCTTTTTTAGGATATTTGGTTTTCCAAATAGATAAATTTTTTAGTTAACCAAAATTCCTTAGGTTTTATATATATATATATATTTTAACATGCAAGATTCAGTGACAGATCTTGTTCATTTAACAAATTATGGTGCTATGTTGCAGAGACAATAAATCATTAAAATAAACAGATTTCCAAGATTTTGTTTTGGTCCATTTGTTTATAACCTGAATATGTGAAAAAGATATACTGTTATTATTTTTTATAACTTTGTTTTCATTTATCTTTTACAGTGACTGAGAGCAGCTCTGAGAATTCAGTTCTTAATTCCAACCTTTGTGTCTACAATTTAGGATATGCTGTTGTTTCCATGTTGTAGTGTTTTGGATAAGGACAAATCTTCCATGCTATTCCCACGTTGCCTTCTTACCCACCCCTAAAACATTTTATACACCTATCTCTGATGAATAGGTCAATTGTGAAACCTTTTGTAGATTCATAGTTAGTTTCAATATACAACACCCAATAGTGTTTTCAAGTTCCCTTTGGGAACCCACTGATTCTGATCAGGTGTTTTATTTTCTGAATCCTAATGAAGTTTATTATCTGTTTCTCCCCACCTCACCCCTTTCTCCAATGACTTATTTTAGAAAAAAAAATGAAAGATTAAATCATATGAAATTGCTACTTTTGACAGTTTTTAACCTATGAAATTAGCAATCTTATTGTTCAACATAATCAATTTTACAAAATGAGCTTTTTTTTCCTTTGGGGAGAAACTCATAAGTCCACATACATACTCAGATGTAGGTTCAGCATAATTTCCCAGTAGCATGAAATGCTGGCACTCAGATTTATTAGATCAGAAATTTTGATGTATGCAATCCAGTGATTTAATTTATAGCATTAATTATTTTAGCTACCACTTACCAGTGATAGTTTATTCCACATTTGGAGAACAATGTTTATATGACCTCTTCACATCCCATTCTATGTATGGGAAATATTTTTTGTTTACCAATTTCTGTATTAAGTGTTGCTACAATCACTCCATGATAGCACCTCAGTCTACATAGCCCCTTAAGATTTGATTTAGAAAGTAATTGAACTTATTTTCTTCATCCACAGTAAAATTCTTTTTTTTCCTATTTCCTCTAAACCAAACCACTTTTTTTTTTCCTAAAGAGAGAAAAGTATAAAATAAGTAATGTTAGCCACTCAAATGTTTTCCAGATTTCCTTTTGCAAATAGCCTGGCCTTTATTCAGCCAAAATTTATTTAACCAGGTGCTGTGTGTTTGTGGTTTCCATGTATGTCTAATTTAACTTTGCAGAACATAAAAAGCTTTTCAGAACAATTTTTTAGCCCCTTGTCGCTGGGCAGTTGGGATTTCCTGGAAAGTAATGTATCCGGAAATCCTGACTGCTGCTACCACTGACTAAAGGAATAATGGTCATTTTTCCCCTTAACCAGGCTCTCCACTGAAGTAAGTACTTACCTGGATTTACATGGTTGTTAGTGACAACAGTCTCCTGAACCATATTTTAAAAGTTCACTGGCCTGGAGGAGTTTGGGGAGAGTGAGAACATTCTTAACTTCCCCAGGCATTGACTGTCCTTTATTTTTAGGGTACACATCTGATGTTTTTTTTTTAACCCAGGGCCTTGTGCATGCCAGAAAAGTGTTCTATCACTGAGCTATATCCCCAGTCTCAGGATATATATCTTTTAAATTCATGTTCAAAGTACCCTGGCTCTATTTCTTGGTAGTAAAAGCCAAGTGGCTTTACAATGACTCCATAGTTTGCTATTTGATCAAAAGCCTCCGTCTTGGGCTGTGGCCATGGCTCAGGGGTAGATCGCTTGCCTGGCACACATGAGGCCCTGGATTCGATACTCAGTACCACATAAAAGTAAGGTGAAGGTATATATAAAATCATATATATATATAAAAAATTTTAAAGCCTCCATCTGTAAAGCTGTGACAAAAAGCTTTGTTCTATGCTCCCAGAGCATACCTAACAGTGTCAAAAGCACTTTTCTCGACAAACGAGATTTCCCTGTATTGCTAAAGCTTTTCCTTGTAAGATTTCTTCATAATATCAGTAGTCTATTTTGAAGGTATCAAATGCAAGACCAGTATTTCATAATCTTAGCAACTTTCTGACCTCAACACATGCACATACAGAATTTGAGCTTGTATTTGTATACAAGTAGTTATATCCATTTTCTCAGAAATGAACTTTTCCCCCCCATTTTTTAGAGGTACTGAGGATTAAACCCAGGGATACTATATAAATGAATTATATTCCAAGCCCTTTTTATTTCTTGAGAAAGGGTCCCACTGAATTGCCCAGGTTGGCCACAAAACTTGCAATCCTCCTGCCTCAGCATCCCTAGTTGCTGGGATTATAGGCATAAATAAGAACTTAATATTAGTGTAGAACCACTACAAACAGAATCCTTTGATCATGACATGATATGCCAGCCAAAGGATTTGTATTCTTCATGACATTTCCTATTTGTGACCTCAGCTGTGGCACAATGTCTGCACTAATACCATCTATGAACGTTGGGCAAACTCTAACCCAGTGTTGGGAAGCAGACCACTGGGAGCTGGGAGAATTTTATGGAGAAGGAGGTGAATCATTTGTAATGAGACAGTTTTACTCTCTGGATGTGATAAAGTTTGGAGTGTGATACAGGTGGGACATATATATAGTCATAATAGGTTTGGCTCAACATTACAGTGATTTGTTTTTAGAGGGTTATATGTTAAACTTCCAAAGACAAAAAATTATTAGGAAATGTGAGGTAAGAAAGGGCAAATGACTTGGATGGGAAGTTTTAAGAAAGCAACTTTCTGACCCTGCTGCCCCACAAATCCTCTCCTGGGTTTACTTCCACAATGGTGTTCCAGGGCGTGAGCAGTGCTGAAGTCCAATTCTAGGTAAGCAGACTGGCTGCCTAAACCACCTCACTTTAACATCACCAAAGACAAAATTTTCATTTCAAGTGAACATCAACATTTTCAAATAGAATTTTTTGTTTTAGGTTCCTTTTTTTCTTCCTTAATGACCATGGAAAATCTGGAAACATCTGAGAGCTTGTGCTTTTCTAAGGGCATTCCCAGCTCCACTGAGTAGCTTCCTGGTATCAGTGTGACTTGCAGCTCAATGCCTTTTAACTTCAGCATGACACCCAGTATCTCTTATCCAGTGTTGACCTCCTTCTGCTAAAATTACACTTGGGTTTTCCGTATTTTTTTTACTTATTGAGCCATGCCTTAGTGTTAAGCCAAACAGCATATTTTTTTTTTTTGATGAACAGATGATTCCAGATTCTTAGTTGTCCAACTACATAATCTGACTATAACCACCAGATTCTAAACTTAGATTAGATTTTAAATTTAGATTATAACAGAACTTTTTTTTTTTTTAAAACACTTCTTTCACTTTCCAGCCTCTCTGGAAAATGTCTAACTTACAGAAATAGGTTACATTTTAAAGTGCAGCTCAAAGAGTACAAAATTAGTCAAAACTGCTAAGTCATCAGATGCAGCACTTACACTTGAGTTTCATATTAAACCCATAAACTCATCCATGCAGGACACTGTGGAGTAAACATTTACATAGCAAGACAGCAACTGATTCAAAAGACTTTCTGCTATTTCTGTGATGTGTGTTCCCAAAGAAAGCACCTTTCACCCAGTAGTAGGGGACTGTATTTCCTTACTCATCCCCTCTATAAAGGACAATGACTAATATTCTACTTTAAAAAGCAGAAATTCTGGGGCTGGGGCTGGATGCTCAGTGGTAGAGAGCTCACCTAGCATTCATGAGGCACTGGGTTTGATCCTCAGCACCACAGAAAAATAAAAAATAAAGATATTGTGTCCACCTAAAACAAATATATATATGGCAGAAATCTGTACAAACCATAGTTACTCTGCACTCTGCAGTGAAGCAGCCAGCAGCACAGTGGTACAGGGTATAGTCATACTCAACTGCATAACCCAGCAATGTCACTTTCTACCACTAAGCGTGTTTCTTAACTTTTTTTCACCAATAAAAAGGGGATAATTCCACTTCCTTGACAGTAGTGCTGTGAAAACAAAATTGCCTCTTTCCTCAGTCTGGTATTTGAAGGGCAAATTAAAAATTAAATAATTAATAGTAAATCTTAGGGCAGTGTTCAGCACAAGTACATACACTCAACTGGAATCACTGAGAAGGGTTAGAAGGGACCTTATACATTTTCATTTTACAAAATAGGGAAAGTGATGTATATGGATAGAGAAAAATGATGCATATCCAGAAGGTCTAGAGCAGTTTCCACTTTGTTCTAAACCTTTAGAACCCCATCATTTCCTATTTTACAGCTTCATGGTGAGACAGACTTTTTTTTTTTTTTCCCAGCACAATGAAGTACAATGGATACGGCTGAATTATGTGCAAGGAGGGATTTCAGAATTTGTCCATCAGCCAATAGTAGGCCCCAGGTTTATGAGTCTTCTGGAAAGACGTGCCCCTGAGGACAAACATAGGCAAAAGTAAACTTCACGTTTTTTCCTGACTGGGTAACACAGGAAATTGGGGCAGCAAGCTTTATCCTTATTTGAGTCTGGCAGCTGACAATGTTAAATTAAGCAAACATGATTGTGTATTTAATGTTTGGTTAACAGATACTGACTCATTGAATAAAAAGACTATTTGTGGACAAAATGTAAAAATATGAGGTGGACAACAGTATGTCAAATGGAATCTAAATGCTTGTTCATGGTTGGAAGATCAGGATGGTGGGTCAAGCAAGCCCTTATAAAGTACCTGTTGTCTGCCACTATTTAGATGAGAATACAGACAGTATTTGTCTCAATTTTATGAATGATACAAAGCTGGATGGGACAGAAAATATTCTGGGTACAGGTCAAAATCCTAAGATTCTGAAAATCTGGAGCAAAACCTACTAAGAGAACAAATTTTAGTGGGGATAAATAAAGTAACAGGAAAAGGAGCCTTAGAAAAATCACCTCCAGGGAAATGTGAATAAAATGTCACATGCAGAGAAAATAACCCTGTTAAATTTAATTTCAGTGTGCATGGAAATGCCCAGCAAACATGCATTTATTAGTGACTATACTAAGGGAGCATTGGTCCACCTCTGGTATATTTGTATTCAGGCCTACACAACTCACTTTAAAAACTGGGCACATGTAGAGAAGATTAGGATGGTGAAGGGTCTGAGAAATGACAGGAGCAAACGCTGATTGGAAAAGGTCTGAGGGCCCATGAGATCAGTCTTTAAACACCTGAAGAACTACACTTCAACAGAACAAATGGCCAATTCTTTATGACTACAGAAGGCAGGACAATGTATTAGTGGGTAGAAGTAAAAGGAACACAGGTTAAATGAAATCAGTATGAAGTAAATAAAAATTTCTGTAACAATAAGCTGTTTTGATATTATTTTATTTGTTCCCAGCACATTTAAAAAAAAAAAATCACACATGGGCATTTGCTTATAGAACAGTACACTGGAGGGAAACCAATAAAAGAGAATCTGAACATACACCGAAAGCACAGTACATAGACTATGTTTTGAGCCCTTGTGGAGAACAACATGGCTCAGTATGAATTGACAACGCTATACTGGAATCTCTCAGGAACTTCCCTTCCCACTACATATCCACTTTTAGACTATAAATGTAAAGAGAAGAACTGTATGCATTAGTTACAGCAGTAAAATGGCTTACATACAAGTGCTTACCCACACATAATTCCCAAAAGATTACTAGAGTACTGGCAGGAATACGCACTGCCTTGGAGGAAGACCCAGGATAAGATTTTATTCAAGTTGTATCAGAGCCAAAGTATTTCACAGGCTTAGCAAAAATGGACAAAAATTAATATGACCTACACATAATTCTCCTAAGATTTACCAGTGTTCAGGAACAAAAATATTTATTAATTGGAAGGCACCATCACACAAAAGGACTGACACACAATATAAGGAATAGACCCCACTCCCCCTTCCAGGCTCTGCTCCCCAGGGACCATGTGAGCAGACATCCAAAGCACAGAGCGAGTGTCTCAAGGCTGGGTGAATAGCCACACTTCAGAGCTACCAGGTTGGGACAGTAGGAATGAAAATGTAGGGATGAAAATTCCTGTTGACTGATTAGTACCTCATCTGTATGTGAGGGTACAAGTCCACCATACAATTAATTAAATATGCTAGATGAGCCAAACCAACAATGGAGAGGATTATCAGATTAATGCACAACTACTTAATTCCTGACATGTTTTTAAAGAGGAATAGCCTTGAGCTGATAACTAACCTCTGTCTTTAAAGACTTATACTCTTTTTCTCATTTTAAATGGCTATTTCATGATGGGGGTGAGGGGGAGCAGAGGAAATCCCAAAAAGGCACTGTGAGCAAGGGGGTACTATTTAAGTAGCTCAGTAAATAACTATTTATAGAAACTATACCAGTATAAGCATATCATGTTCTTTTTGAAATCCAATTAAGAGTTAAAACATGTTTCATGTGGGGTGCTTAAGGTGGTCATGAAAAACACTGCCAACAATAAGGTGCCTTAAAAACATGTATATATGTTACTTGGAAATCTACATGAAAACCAGATTTCTCTCTCTCTTTCAGACTGGGAATTCAGAACACCTGAAAAATTTTACTAGCAATACTTAATGTATTATTTTTCCTTTGTGAAAAATACATAAAATAATATCCTTTGGGAACCTAAAAAGAAATCATTTCACAGACCTAAAGTTAACTGAATTCAGTGATGGCTCTTTGGCTTGAGTATAGTTAGAAAAGCAAGAGAAAGCAAGAGAAAGCTCATTCTTTGAGATTCTTCCAAGGTTTTTAAAGGGAATTCTTTATAATTACAAAAAACTAAATGCCTCCTAAGAATTTAACATTGATTTTTAAAATAATTAGAGATTGATACAACCTAGCTAATGACAGACTGTTAGTAATCCAAACAGATTTAGTCATAGGTTATACTTGATTAGGCTACATCAATAAAACAACAAAAACTAATTTCCTATTTTCAGATCAGTGGAAATATTAAGATGATAGACTAAAGATGAAAGAAAAAACCCATATGCAAACAGAACAAATAACACCTTGACACTCCCTTTGAGAAAAAAAATCTTAGACCCAAGTCCAGTTTATTAATAATATGTTTCTATAATCTCTCAACATTATACAAGCAGTTTTTACAGTTAAATTTCACACTGAAGACAAACGCTATTTGGCTTAGGAAACAGAAAGCTGAGTAACTTACATCCTTCATATCAGTCAGTATATTTCAACAGTTTCAGTAAACCTTTCACACTTTCTGGATTTCAGCATCAATGTATAAGTTCATTTTTCCCCCTTTCCTTTTCAGGAAAGTGATATTAGTAAGAATTAAGTGAATATGTTGACATATGGCTCATTTGGGAACATGAAGCCTTGGGCAAAGCCAAGCTTCCATAACTCAAAGCAAAGGTGAAACAGCGAATTCTTCAATCCTAAACTGGCACCTGTAACACTTTCTGCTTTTTTCCTACCATGAGCTAAGCCCTAATTAAAATCAAAGTTGCTAAATCTTAAGTGATAAACAAAAAGCTACTAAAGCTGTCCTTTACTCTTATCTCAGTTCCTTAAAATGTAGATATGCTTTCCACAGCATTCCATTTGGCTGCCTCAAGCACCACCACATGCAATTTGTGAATCAATCCATATTGAATAAGTGTGTTCTAATATTGATATGGAATAGAAGCTCAACCAAACCCAGCCCATTTGAAGACTTAAGGGAACAAACTGCAGTTTAGGACTTCACAGCTTCTCTGATTGACTGCAGTTAAGAAGTAGCTCTGGAAAAATGACAAGGGAAAATCTCTGGGGCCAACATACAGAAAATGCAAGCTAGGACTTAGTTACTAATATTCTAAAAAAAAAAAAAAAGGTTTCCTTGTTCCTTGCAACCATCTGCATCTGGTATATTATGCACACTGATGGCAGCTCATCCTTTATTGCATTTTTTTTGTTTTCCAAATCAACACAGCTATGCCAACTAGATGGCTTCCAGCTTCACAAATAACTTTACAGTATCAGTCCCACAATATGAAAGCGCTTTTAGGAAGAAAACTCCTAATTATTCAGAAGCAGAAGAATGTAATCCTCTTTTCTGTGGTAAATACTGGGCACAATTAACACGTGACTTCCACAATTCTTACCAAATAAAAAAGCTCAAGACTAATTCACTTTTGCACTACTATAAATTGCACCAAACATTAAGGCAACAGTTTCTCTAAGGGCCAATAAGAGACCTGTTCATATTAGGTCTCTTCAATTCCATTTCTCACTAGCAGCAAGTTCCCATTACCATTGAAAACCCAACCAAGTGAGACATCATCAAAATATAAGCAAAATATTACAAACATGACTAGCTTAAGAAAGTCAGTGTTACCCAGTTAGAAAACCAAATAGGCTATGGGTCTTCAGAATTTTAAATAAACTTGTCCAGAATTAGTTAAGAAGCCTCACATAGACAATGTTCTCCAGGCTTTAACTTTCATGAAGCCATTTTCAGATACTTCAAAAACAAGAGGTATGGTTTAAGTGCTTCTGTGCATATTCATGAACTCAGTGCTCCAGACACTAAGTCTATACTCAGGCACCTCCCAGATATGAGTGTGTCAAAGCTGGGTGAAGGCTTTCTGATTTACTAAATCAGAGTGAAACAGTACTGATGAACGTTCTTGCGTTTCAAAATGATCCCTGTAGAAATGATTCCAACTACAAAATATAGTCACCATTATAAAATTAAGGTTGGGAAGGCCTGCATACATGGAAAAAGAAACACAAAAACATAAATCACTAATTTCCATAAGGTTCATGTAGAATAGTGAACACAATTCTAGGTGTTACCTTTATAGATTCTTAATATCTAATATAGATTTGTGAGGTTGTTGAAATCTCAACTCCCTGGGAAAGAATACTAGACCAATCACATGCAAAAGAATGGATCTGCTTGTGAATCCGTTTTATTTTTTAAAATTGCTCAGAAACATGTATACACTTTCAGTGAGATATTAGTACCTTACTAAATTTTACATTTTGATCACCAATTAGAGAAATCATCGTCATGAATAGATGCATTTTATAAAGTTGAGAATATGATCATTCTAGAGGCAATTTCCTCATCAAGTGTCCAACTATTTCAAACCATCGAGGGTTTTAAGCATAGATTTGCTGGAAATTTTATAATTAAAAATAAATCACCAATGAAGAGAGGCAGCTTCTAAAAATACATAGTTTTAGTTTTTGTCGTTACACTAGTACTTAATTTTGATTTGTTTACAGATTTAATTTTGTTAGTTTGAGGCCAATTTTAATAGTTAAAAATTATCATTCTGAAGTCTTAAAAATACATTTTGTCAAATTTAAATTTTCACTTTTCTGGTTAAGGCTACTTCAGATAAAAAAGATAGTAAACTGCCCCAAAATAGTTTGGAGTTGTTGCTACACAGAGTGTCCTTTCAAAGGATCATCTGCATTTTGACATATATTATCTGATTAAATATTAGTTTTAAAAAATTATCAAAAGTTAGGTATTGCAGTAAGAAAAGAATCCATCTTAAAATGTAAAACATGAACCAAACAGACAGTGATTTAAAGTAATAATTTCACTCATTTTAATAGCCAGGTTAAATGTAAAAATGTTTGCTAAATGTGATTAATGTTTTCTTTATTATGTAAGAAATATGATATTTCAAACTTCTGATTATGTATATGCATTAATACATTTTTAAAAAAATTTAGGTTAAACCAGTAATTCAAAAAAGGCATTAAACCATTATTAAGAACTAATTTGAAACTTATTTTCACATGAAAATTTACCATGCTATTTGGGTTAATTTAAAAAATTAAAGATTTTTGTCATTGAAACTGTTGAGGCTTTTAAATCCAAATGCTAAATCATGACTGTTTCTTTAGCCAAAGGGCTCTTTCAGCTGGAGACATTAGGGTCAGGAGTCTTCCTTCTGTTCCTGTTGCAGCTTCTGCAGCTCAGCAACAAGCATGGGACAGGAGAAACACTGGGACTCAGGGTGGATAAAGGCATTCATTTCATAGTAAACCTGTCCTTCACAGGAATAAGTGAGGGATAAGTCAGCTTTTCTTACAAAACATACTATGAATGATCTTAGTGATGCAAATACAAACTCATATATCAGCAGAAAGAGAAACATCAAGAACAAAAATGTGTCCCCTCACAGAGTAATTCCTATACTGGTAATTACAACTGTATACTAATTTCAAAGAAAACTGTAGGCCAAGCACCTTATAGAATTGAAGGCCTCCTAACAACAGGTTGCCTATATTCTTTCCTCCCTTAATGTCCTATCACAGTATAACATGTTCTTAGAAAACATATACCTGTATCACTCCTCAGTGGACTCGTTTCCTAGATAACTGCTTCCCAAAAACGTTCTTCTTCTTTTTTCTTTTTTTTAAAGGCCAGAGAAGCAATAGATGATACCAAAAGCCTCCTTTGTTCCTCAAGAGGAAGCATTAATGTAAAACAGCAGGCAGCATCTTCCTCTGAAATATCTGGTAGCCTTGTGATGCTTGACTAAAATTTGAAATTATAAACAGTTGGCTGTAAACTGATATACCTACACTGAGAGAGATTTAAGAACACCATCTGTCAATCCATAGATGTGGAAACAAAACTACAGAATGAAAGCAAACTTATGTTAAACCAACAATCAAATGTAGCCAAAATATAGTCCATAATGTATCTGATTACTGGTATAACCATACAGTTCAAGACTTAAAAAAAAAAAAGGTGACATTTTTCATAATGATACTAATGGATTTATAAAAGGTTTCTATTTCCAAAGATATTACTGGGGTCCACATATTCCTTGACAGACTTCAGCATTCCAAAGCCGACATCGGAGATACATTCCTTTAGCCACTGCTTCCGCAACTTGCCCACTGGAAAAAACAAAATCAAAAATGCTTCAATATACACTATGATGCTTGGAACCAATCAATCTTGTGACCATGAGTGAACAAACACTGTTTGATAAATGCTTTTATTCAAAAATGAGAAATGTTTTGCTTTATTTGATTTATTGAGCCCACCAGACTATCAAGCTCATTAAGCTCAATGCATTCCCAGGGGAAGTCTGTGCTCCACAGTGTCTCCTTTCTCTGTAAACTATGAAATGGAGATTGAAGGGAGCTTGGACTGAGATTACAGCCCATTTTACAAATAAAAATGATGATTAAAACATGCATTTCAAAAGAACCCACCCCCATCTTAACTACTAAAACATACCAAGTTTCAGAGAAAATAAAGTTAACTAAAGAAAAACATCACATTGGGATGAATTTGTTAGCAAAGCTTTGCAAAACTAACAGAATAGTTCCTTAAAATATTTTAAGGAGTACAAAGACTTTTCCAAAAAAAAAAAAAAAAAAAAATCTGAATCTTTAACAGGCTTATGGGGAAAAAAATTTAGCTGTGAAGCTTTCTGTTTACATTTTCTTGTCACAGGCTTTTAAATAAATTTGCATGTTCCCAAATAATGGTTATTTTCTTCCTATTGTTTTTTTCTAATTAAGAAATATTTTGGGCACTGAAAAAAATCAGATGCCTAATCCATTTTAACCTTAATCTTTAGCTTTATAAACTAACATGTTCTTATTCTTTGTTTCTAAGTCTTACTAATTTAATTTGAGAATGAAGTAACATAATAATTAGCAGCAAGAATTATATTTTAAAAGACACTCAATGAAAAACAAAACTTTTCTAAATATAACTTTTATAAGAAAGGATATGTAAAAGAATTCTGAACTGTCAACTTAATTTGGCACTGAAAAACAAAGCAATATGCTGACTTATCTGTGGCAAAATAAGTAAGTCTTTTAATTTATGGTTAGGATTATTTGTAGTTAGTATTTCTCAAACACATGCATTACTCAAATGGTCATTTTCCACAAATGTTCATTATGATCCAAAGTCATCAACAATGATTTGTTGACCAACCGAAATGGGAAACCTTCTCTCATTAAACTATTCAGCTTGTCACTCTAAAATGCACTCCCATTTATCAGGCTGCAGCAATACATCATAGCATCTGCCTTTTGGAAACCTTAAATACCATCTCAACTCAACTCAAACCATCTTCTGTGTCCAGTTCTCCAGGAAACCATCAAATTGTTATCAAAATAATAAATAGTATGGTTTCTGCCTAGATTTTAGAAATAAGGGAGTATTGCTGGTGTTAAGAAAGGGGATAAGATAATGAGGTTCAGGAGGGGAAAAAAAACTGAATTCAAAATAAAACTTTTGTTTAAAATATATCTAAAACCAGAGGCAAAAATTACAAATTACTACTTATACAATCTCTGCTACGTAAGAGATTTTTCTGCTAGGATCTTTTATTTAAGGGACAACTCATGACTATGCATTAGCCTTAGTTTTCTCATCTGCAAATGGATTAGAATCTATTAGTCTATTAGATTCTAATATTCTATGATTTTAAGAATTTAACAAGTTAAAAATCAGTTATTTCCAGATTTGCTCTGTACGATTAAAAAAAAAAGCAACTAGTCTAAGTGTTGGAGGTGGCATTAGATTACTGTGTTACTTTCTATAAGCTAACTACACTGAAGCAGCTCAAGAGGGGCGAGAGCAGTCAATGCCAGACCACTGTTATCTGTAATATAGTTTCACTGAATGTGTCCTGTGGTTATAGATGTAATTGTCCTGAAAAGACTGCAAACAACTGCTCCAACAAGATGAAGCACATTAGAAGCTCAGCAGGATGCCCAACAGCTAGCTTGTCTGCCTGGTTTTACACCTCTAGTAATAATGCAATTCCACAAGGAACTGAACCATCATCTGAGAAGCCACCCAACAGCCATTGCATATTTAATGAAGTCTCTCACCAAGCGCTGGAAAACAGAAGGTGCTTGGAGTGCATCATTAGTTCTGTCAGAAGGATAATTTACACATCTATCTTGTCAAATTTTCTATGGTTTATACTTTTACAATAATCAATCTAACATACATTTGATTAGTGAACTAGAAAGTTAAAAAAAAAAAAAAGAACAGAAAAAAAAGACAGTACAGCCAACATGGATCCTCATAAACATACTTGATGAAAGAATTTAACCCCTTGGTGGCAGAGGTCTGTGAGCTTCTTTTAGTACTGATAACAGAAACTGAAATGGGGTTAGAAGCCAGGGCTTATACAATTAAAGGGATTAGAAATCTTTGGTTTTGTTCAACAAATTAAGTCAACTACATTGTACAAAAAAAAAAAAAAAAAAAAAGCATAGTATAAGCAAAAACAATGTGCATTATAAGGCAATTACTGAAACCAGTTTGCGGCTACAGAAGAACTTTCTGGGGCTACCTCAGATTAAAACAACAAACTCCACAGGCCTAATCCAAGAGAAGGAAGACTCTGAAGCAGAAAATTTATGTTCCACAGCTAGACAATAATGCTCTTTGCTCAACCCTTAGACTGCACTGTGAGGCATTTGGAAATTAGCTGGCTATACTGTCCTGCAGACAGATGTACTATATATACATATGTAACACATATGTGTTACATAGTACTTGCCTAAACATTTGTACAGTTCATTTTCTGAAAGGGAAGAAATGATTTCTCTTTTATGTAGTGTGCCACATTGCAGGAGGAAAGAATGATGAATAAAAATTGCAAAAATAGTAAGAGAGGGCCTAAGAATACTTTCAACACCTGGTATTATCATCCATTGAAAAGGCGTATGCACATTCAGACCACATAAAGCACATTCTTCTTTCTAGGCCTGGATCATCTGATGTGAGACATTCATGGCTGCCGATCCAAGTACCTTCCTTTTACTTAACTGAGAGGTAACACTAGAGCTACAAATGCCTGGTTTACCGTCTTCAAAAACAAGACAGATCCCAAATTCCACAATTCATTATTACTCTAATAAAGAATGCCTTAAGTATATAAACCAAATATTTAAGTCTTGTAAAGTATTTTACAAGGTACAAAAAAGGTGAATCCAAAATTGAATGTTATGAAACTAATGGTGTAGGGGGAATCTAAACTAAAAACTGAGTTCACCTTTTTAGAGTCTGATTTTGAATAATAAATATACAAAGAAACAGTTTTTTTTTTAAACATGTCTTTCTAGAATATACAGTACATTTTTTAAAATTTACTTTTGGAACAGAGAACATGAAAGCTTTCAGGGATAGTCTCCTATTCCCTTTGGATGCTAACAAATCAAGGAAGAACTCAAGTTTTGTGGTATGATCAACAGTATAAAAGAATAAACAGACATGTGAGGGGCACGGGGTAAAGAGATTTTGTATGTGGAAAATGTGAACATGGGGGCCAACCTAGCCCTCTGGGGCTACTCATATTCACCTTATCTGGAACTACTCTTTGTGGTTTAAGGGATCAAAAACTTAGCAAAAACTATCAAATAGTTCCATTATAAAAGGGACAAACCTGGGGTTTGTTGGGTACAGAGGTCTCTTTAGCTAGATATATTTTAACTTTCTAAATTCTCCTTTTGATTATAAAGTCAAAAAGACTTTTTTTATACTTTTATTTAAAAGAATGAATTATGAAATGAACCATACCCTTAAAACTTACTAAAACTACAACACAGAAGTAGAATTTATCCAAAACCAAAAGCAACTACTCATTATTATGACTGCATTTTGAGGGCTGAAGGTATATAGCTCAGTGGCAGAGTGCTTGCCTAACATGCCCCTGGGTTCAATCCCTAGCATTGCAATAATTGGAACAAAAAACCCTGTATTTTTGGAAACTCAGTTTTGAGCATCCTCGATAGCTATTTAGCATTAATATACAGGTCATATTTTAAAAAGAAAATCTAGAGTTCACTGCTGATAGAAGTATTCTGAGCAATGACTTTTTATTTCTAGATTTAATTAATCAGACCAAACTCCTGATAGATCATGTAAGGAACCAGTGTTGCAAGGACATCCAGTCTCTTGTCAGATGAGGCTTTGGAATCCTGGAACTTGTTAGGCACTAACAGAAACAGGAACAGAGAAAAACAATGGACTGTTTCTAGTCTTTGAGTTATATAGTACACCTCACTGTAATATTTCTTCAGATGGGTTTTTTGGCCTGAAAAAAAAGAAGGTAGTAGTTTATTTGTGTGTGCTATAAATATAAAACACATTTCTGTTTGGTTAGTTGGTTTCAGTGGAGGTGTTTACTGAATGTTAGCCAACAGACCTCTAACAGAGGGAATGATAACATCTACCCTTTAACAGAATATGAGACAGGACCATGACTATTAAAACAAAAATAAATTTAATGCTTAATAGGTAATAAAGGTCAATTTGATTTAAGTCATATGACTAATTTTCTACTAATTAAACTTCTGATATCATGAAGACAAGTTCATGAATATCAGGAACTTTACTAAAGCAGTTAAAATCCAGTATTATAAGATTTTTCTCTCATTGTCAATACTCAAAATGTCAGTTTTCTTAATGCTAAGTTTTCTTTAATACAGTTTAGCTATAAGTGTTTACAGATCCTTAAGTAAGTCTTTAGAGATTATGAAACTGAAAAAAAGTTTAGATTATTAGTATGATCACACATCAGAAGAGCTGGATTGAGCCTGTCCTCAGAATCACAATTAAGTCCTAATTATATTGTATGTTCACAAATGATGCCCTGGCACACTTAAAATTTAAACCAGAGTAGCAATCAATATCCATACAAAAGAGTCCAAAGCCAGTGAACAGGTCAAATAACCTGAGATAAGAATAGAAAAAGACAAAAAGCATCGTATGCTTCTTGAAGACTAAGGCCATGTTTTATTCTTCTTTGTGGTGCTGTTGCATAACATAGTACACATCATACAGTAAGAATTCAATAAATGTTAGCTGAAATTTTAAAAGTATGGAACGACAGTTATTCCGAAGCCATACATATGGT